CCCAGTCCTCCCCCCACCCCCTGTCGTCCCTCCTAACCACGTCCCCCTGCCCAAGGTCACGCTCGCATCGGAATTAGACGCAATCAGTTTGCAGAATCGACAAAACCATTTCTTCCCCCCCTCGCTTTTCTCTCTGGGCTCCCTTCATTTCACGGTGGTGAGAGATCGCGACCAATGAAGGTGCCAGAGGAGGGAGAGGGGTTGGGGGAAGAGGGGACCGCCAATCGGAACCCGATCGGTGAGCCGGTAGAAAAAAAGCGGCAGGCTTGATCCGCGGCTCCCGGTCGTGCTTGTCGTGCTGTTCGGGGCGCCGGCAGGATCCACACGCCCGCGCCCGCCCCGCCCAGCCCCACGCTGAAATAACCTCTGGGCTGTGCCGTCTCCGGCCGTGGCTTCGACGAAACCTTCTGTGTTGAAACCAGCTTCAGCTCATAAAGATAACAAGTATCTCATGCCGCATCACATTCTTTTCCATTCTCTTTTCCACTTTTTTTTTCTCATATTTTCTTTTGTCCTCAGTTTTGGATGACGGGACACCGCATCCTGATCCTACGTCACTATCGTCCTCCCTATAACCCCGCGTCTTCTTTTCCTCTGCTCAATCAGTACATACGGGGAAGATCTCCAGCGCGACGTGCTCGCGGACGTGCTCGGAGTACGTGCCTCCGGAACTCCTCCCCCTCACGTCCTGCAGGAGGCGATCACACTCACCTTCCTCTTGGCCACGGCCATGCGCTGGTCCCGGATGTTGTGCGCCTCACCCGGGGTGCGCTTGCCCCAGACGACCAGGGCGATCCTGGTGTAGGTGAACATGAGCACCAGTAGAGGTACCAGGTACTGCAGCGCCATCAGCAGCATGCTGTGGGGAAGAGAAGAAGAACACTGTCAAATTTTACTTAACAGGAAAATGGCTACTGTCATTCAAAGACTATGTGATTCGAGTCACATTGGTTAGAATACCATGTCACATCCGAACGCATGCCTGTGAGTACAGAGCGAGGCAAGGGTATGCCCCATTCGGACGAAAGTGACATGATACAGGGTGGGTGATCCGCGCCGTGGTTTTTCTCTGCTTATGCTGTACCGGATTCATGCGTGCGGGCGGGCTTGCCTATCGTCGCTCGCCATGGCGCCTTACGGCCCCGTGCGAGTATACAACCCATCCGCACGCATGAATGCGGTACAGTATAAGCAGAAAGAAACCACGGCGCGGATCACCCACCCTGTATTCTAAGCAACTGTTTGAATAACAGTGGTAACACGGAATGATTTTATCAACCCCATCATTTCTATTTCAGGGCAGGGCTCAAGACATTTCCTCTTGGGACCACATATACATGGTGTCCCTGTCCCAAGTAATATAAAACACTGTCATTGAATCAAATAATTTATATATCGAACTTTAGTATTTGCAGCTATTTGCAGTGTATTTCAAGAAGTAGTGTCTGTTCCTTTCAAAGAATGAAACCGTGTCCACAAATATTTGTCACTTTCACTTTGCAAAACCGTAACTTTTTATTTTGCGTAGCACTCCGCTTTTTCTTTCACAAACCCGTATTGACCTTCACACAAAATGAGCCCCATCCCCTCCCACCAAAGCGGTTATCAACCCCAGCTAGCGCGAATAAACGAGAAACCTTTCTAATTCATTGGCTTATACGGCCGTGCGAGTGTTTTCGCTGTTTTCTTTTTCGGTGGCGCGAGGGAAGGGTCGAGGACGTAGGACGCGACGGGACGTGCCGACCTGTCGCTGACGCCGCGACCTTCCAGTGGCGAGGCGCGTAGCCTATCGCCCCGTCCGCGTGACGGATAAGGACTCGTACGGCGAGAGTAAAAGCCGGGCCGGAGGCAGGTGGAAGGAGCGAGAGGGGGATGGGGAGGAGG